ATGGGTTAAGCCTCGCCCTCCGGCTCAGGTCATGATCCCTGGATCCTGGGATAGAGTCCCACATCGGGCTCCCTGCTCGGCGGGAGCCTGCTTCTCCCCCATCTCATCTCTCTCTGCCTGCCTCTCTACCTACTTGTGCTCTCTCTCTTTCAAATAAATAAATAAAATCTTAAAAAAAAAAGAAAAAGAAAAAGTCTCTGCCTTAAGAGCCTGCTCTGCCGCCCACCCCCCCAACCTGTCTGCCTCTCTGCTTACTTAGGATCTTTGTCAAATAAATAAATAAAAACCTTTAAAAAAATATTACTCTATGCATGTATCTATGTCATCATATTATGGTGATTGTCTGATCCTTAATGGTCTCCTCAATTAAAAGACTTTCTTAAAGGTGACATCTGAGTCTTTCATCTATGTATCTTCAGCATCTAGCTCAATGCCTTGCATATAACGGGCATTCATTATGTTTTTTAGGAAGATGGGAATAATTATATCAATAGGTTTCTATTATATTAACATTCTTCAGCCTAAACCTTCACTTAGGGAGAAACTTCCAGTTGGTCTAGTTAGACCCAAATATCGCTGACTGACCAACTGTATGAGTCTCTTGGTTTTGCCTCAACCTACATCAAAAGCAGCCCTATATTGTGAATAGATGTTTTTAAAAGCCATAAATAAGGAGGTTTTCGGAAGGCAGAATGCACTATCCTATGTGAACAATGTTGTTATAGTGACTAAATTTCAAGTTAACAAGTACAGAAATGGTAACCTCGTTGTGTAAAACTGAACCACCATAATTGTGGTAGCCCAAATACTATGCTCGAGGGTAGATCTGGTGCTTGAGCAAAGAGGGGGAAAAAAATCCTCTTCATTCCTCATTTCCTTGAGAATAGTTTTGCCTTTGACATTTTTCTTCCCACTTCTTTCTGCACACCTCTCCTTGTAGTCTCCAATGTCCTTACCTTTTGTCCCTCATTATAGCCCTATCCAAGCCAGGAGCAGGCATTTAGCTTTATCCCTAAAATGCTCCAGAGTAATCCCCTTCTCTCCATTACTGCAGAATAGAAAGAAGGAAAATAAGGAAAAGCTAAATTCACAAAAATCTGTAACTATCTAATTATATCTTAAATCTCAGGGGGTTTTGTGGAAAGTATTCTCTGGGAGTTGAATTTCAAGTATTATAACACCCAAGACTCTCCATTTTTGTCTGGGTCTTTTTGTAAGATGGAGAACCTGTATCATACTGTTCTTACCAAATATATATATGGTAAAGACCAATCATTACTTTTGGAATTTAATATGCTTTGATGATGGGGTATCTCTGAAACTGTCACATTCTTCAATACCAAATAAGCCAAATTTGTTAAGGTTTTTTTTTTTAATTTTTTTATTATTTTTTTTAATAAGGTTTTTTAGACGCAGTGAAACGTTTGTTTCATTCTTTTAGTGCCATGTGTTAAAATCGCTACTTTTGTGCAATGAAAAAAGTCAACAGGTACAAAATAGTGTGTATTAAAAATTGGCGCAGTGAGTTAGGCATCTGACTCTTGGTTTTGGCTCAGATCATGATTTCAAGGTCCTGAGGTCAAGCCCCACATGGTCTCTGCAATCACTATGGAGTCTGCTTAAAACTTTCCCCCTATGCCCCTCCCCGCTGCATGCATGCATGCTCTAATAAATACTTAAGAAAAACTAAGTCTCACATAATGCCTCTATTATGTTACTTAGATACCATATAGATCAGATCCTTCAGAACCACTATGTACAGCATTCCCATCACTCCTTACAATTCTTTAACAAATAAAAGAATTTATTAACTTACTAAAGAATTTTCATATAGATATATTTAAATAATCAAATCCACTATGTAAAACAATGATCCATTTCTGGCCTAAATCACAGTACCTGTTTCCTTTGGATTTTTCTATATTATTATTGTAGCAATAGATTATATTTATTGTTGGGAAGTAATACTAATTCAAAGTACTTATTTTTTACTTAAGTACTGATAAAGTTAATTTGTATATTGAGATCCACAAAACGGAGGCCACCTCAATGGCCTGGCCCACATGGTCACAAATCTAAATGAGTATTTGCTGGAGCTTACAGAAAACACCTGCCAGGGAAACAGCACACACCAACCACAGTCCTTCAACTCCGCTTTAGCTAGCATACCTTACCCTAGAAAACAGGAACTGTTAGCCTTACAAGGAAATCCCCGGCCTCCTAGCCAATCGTGCTGCTACCATCTTACCGCTTCTTATGCTCTGTACAACTGGCTCCTTTCCAAAATCCGCTGAGTGTTCTGCTATTTGTTAGATAGTCTGCTCCCCCAATCCACAGATTGTTTCCATTCAATAAAGGACATCAAACTTTTTTTTTTTAATTTAATTTTATTTTTTTCAGTTTCAAAATCCATTGTTTGTGCACCACATCCACTGCTCCATGCAATACCTGCCCTCCACAATACCAACCACCAGGCTCATCCCCCTCACCTGCCCCAATAAAGGACATTGAACTCGTTACTAAATTGGTTTTCTCATTTGACACTACCTAATCCTCAAAATCCTTATATCTAGATGATTTATCCATGATTTTCAACCTAACTTGATTTCATCTGAAATTTTAAAAGAAAAGTTTTTTTTTAATCTATTTAGACAATTTGTAATTGGATATATTCTCCTATTTCCGGCCATAATTATGAACTTCTATTTTCTTTTTTTTTTTTTTTTTTTTAAAGATTTTATTTATTTATTTGACAGACAGAGATCACAAGTAGGCAGAGAGGGAGAGAGGAGGAAGCAGGCTCACTGCCGAGCAGAGAGCCCGATGCGGAACTCGATCCCAGGAACCTGAGATCATGACCTGAGCTGAAGGCAGAGGCTTTAAACCACTGAGCCACCCAGGCGCCCCATGAACTTCTATTTTCAAGGAAATACAATGCTACTTAAAATTAATTTTAATCAGTTTTATTCAATAAGATTGGTGAAAATATCCCAAATTAAAAACTAATTGATAGCAAAGGTTATTATCGTATTAAAATCTAACCTGGATTATACTGTTTGTAATGAAGGAAAAACCTACTGCTGGATGTTAATTTTTCATTTTACAAGGATATCGTATCTCATTTATCATCAGTAATCTGAGAATGTTGAGATATTGAAAATATTCAGTAATAAGCTTCAGGTTGATTTCACATTTGGTTCTAATTAACTTTTTTTTTTTAAGACTCTGAGATATTTCACATACCACAAAATGGGGTTTTACTGTATCTGTAGAGCTCTGCAACCATCACCATTACCTAATTTTAGCACATTTCATCATCTCCCCCAAAAAGACCCCATACTCCTTTAGCAATCACTCCCATTCTCCCCGCTGCTAGCTAGTCCCTGGCAGCCAGTCATCTCCTTTCTGTCTCAATGGATTTGCCTATTCTAGCCATTTCCTGTAAATGGAATAAAACATGTGGCCTTTGTGTGTGGGTTTTTTCACTTAGCAGAATATTTTCAAGCTACAAGATACATGTATTGGTATTTTATTCTTTCTAAGAAATATTATTCCATCATACAGGTATACCACATTTTATTTATCCATTTATCAGCTGATGGACATTTAGTTCTTTCCACATCTTAGCTATTATGATTAATGTTACTCTTACAGTTATGTTTCCAAGTTTTTATGTGAAAATGCTCAAATTTATTTTTAGCCCAACATTTGTGCCTACCTCATTATGTACCAAAAACCACCTTAATTTAAGGTCAAATGATGTTCGAAGCAAAAATAAAGTAGTTCCCTAAACCACATTAACTTGTCTTGATCATAAAATGAGACTCTGAACTGGTGAAGTACAGAGAAGGGATAATTTAATTTTTATGCAAATATGAAATAACATCTGGTTGACTTGGGTTCTAAATTACCTATTCCAAGCAGCATATGTAAACACAGATTCGAATATAAAATCTGGACCACAGGGGCGCCTGGGTGGCTCAGTGGGTTAAGCCTCTGCCTTCTGCTCAGGTCATGATCCCAGGGTCCTGGGATCGAGCCCCGCATCGAGCCCCGCATCGAGCTCTCTGCTCAGCGGGGAGCCTGCTTCCTCCTCTCTCTGCCTACTTGTGATCTCTGTCAAATAAATAAATAAAATCTTAAAAAAAAAAATCTGGACCACAGCATTTACAATTTAATTAAACTAATAAAATGGCATACAGTGTATTAGAGCCAGTATCCTTAGCAAGTTATAAAATTCCATGACAAAGTTACAAAGATCTGAAAATACAGACTCAATAAACCTAAGTATACGTATCAATCTATGTTAACTGTATTTATTCAAAAGTACATTTTAATTAACCCTGGTACTCAGGTTTTTATAATTATGTGGCTTTGCTGATATGTTCATATAACATTAGGACTTTGACAACTTTCATTAGTTATTACTTACTTCACTGCCACTTTTATACTAATTTTCTTGAACTTTTATATTTTTCTTGCGTTTTATGTCAATTCACGAAAGATCTGATCTACCACAATTAGAAAGTTTTTGAGACTTCAATATTCACTAAGGATTTTTTAAAGCTCACCTTTTCAACATTTTTGTATCTATATTAATTTTTGAATGTCAATGTTTCTTCCATATATAAAACCTTTTTAACCCTTTATAAGACTGTAACATAAAAAAATCTTTCCTTTTTATCAGATACAGACCTTTCAACCACTGTAATTCAAAGTCAAATGAATGAAAGTCACTTTTAACTTTATTTGCAATTGTAAAAGGAGTTCTAACACTAGATTTGTAAATAGTGTTTTAAATTTTCAGCTAATCCTAGGCTGCTCTAAAGCATCAAAATGCTTCTAAGCCATGTATGTTCCTTTTATTTTTACCCCTAACAAAATTGAGTAACATTGTTAAGTTTACTAATGTAACTACAAGAAAAAAAAATAAACAGGAAATCTAATCAACCAATAAATTCACTTCATTGCCAAATAAAAATTGGGGATTACACAACCACTTGTCTCCAGGCATATATATTCTAGACTTTCATATATTAACATTTATTTGTATGTCATTATTTCTTGTATACAATCTTGACAGTGGCCAACATAAAAATATAGTGACACCATTATAAAACAAACGTTTGATTTCAGATGAGAAAGTATGTCTGTAGGGCAGGCAAAGGCACAAGTGGATTTTTCTAAGCAAAACTCTTGCGGGGCGTCTGGGTGGCTCAGTGGATTAAGCCACTGCCTTTGGCTCGGGTCATGATCTCAGGGTCCTAGAATCTTGTCCCGCATCAGGCTCTCTGCTCAGTGGGGAGCCTGCTTCCCGCTCTCTCTCTGCCTGCCTCTCTGTCTACTTGTGATTTCTCTCTGTCAAATAAATAAATAAAATCTTTAAAAAAAAAACAAAACAAAACACTCTATTGCAACAAGAACCTCCGCATAACAATTGTCCAGCCCCAAACGGTCACCCACTTATTTAAAGGTGGTGTTGGATACCATAACCAATACTGCTGCAAAGGAAAAGTTTAGAAAATTCCTTTCAGTCACTCGGTGGAATTTTACTTGGAATACTAAGAAATGCATAAGAAGTTGTGACAGCAAATATGTACTTGTTGCACTATTGGGCAAATTAATATTGGCTAATAATCAAAGGACTAAAAAATAATCAAACAGCTTACTAGTTGAGTGTGAGATTTGAGGTCGAACTGCCTAGGTTTAAATCCTGACAATTAGTTAATAATTTTAAGACCCTGAGTGTTTCATCTATATAAAAGAGATTTGATAAGATAATGAATTAAAAGACCCCACTCACAGTACTTCAAAAAATAATGATTAACACTCATTAAGAAATTTATACAGTATTTTAATTTCATCTTTGGCTATTATTTTCATTTTACTTCTTCTACCACATCGTATTTGCAAAGGTATGTGATAAGTAAGAATGACATAGTAAAACCTAAGTTACCAGAATGCTTGGGGAATAAGTCATCTGGACAGGAAAGTCTTCTATAGGATATATTTATAGGTATAGTTTAAAAAAAAAAAAATCAACAAATGAAATAAAACTATTTCCTAAAACTAGTATGTACTTCCATGCATTCTTAATGAGTATATTGGTAGTAATTAAACTTTTTTAAATTAATCACTACTGTTATGAATATAAATTATAACTGCATGTTAAAATTTCACAATCCCTTCAAGACTTACCAAGAAGAGTAAGCCCACTAGACTTTACCAAAAATTTTTTATCATGAAGTTCATGGACAGAATCCAGGGAGTATGTGAACTTTGATGGGGGAGAAAAAATACATCTTTATTTTTACTAATCTCTAACTGAAATTTAGCATTTCCTTCAATTTTGAATGTAAGCGACAAACAGCTATACCTATGTCTGTATCACCACTAGGAATGAGATACTTTATATCATATTATTACCATTGCTATGAATTTTACTTTATACATTTAGAAACATTATTCTTAGAAGAGTCCATGGCTTCACCAGACTGCCAGTGTGGTCTGTCGCACAAAAGTTAAGAACTCTGACCTCAAATTTGTCCCAGTCTAATGTGCTTTGTTAATTAAAAGCATTAACATGTTCCATTATACTTTCATACTGAAGATTGTTTAGATTAGGGTAATACAAATTGGCTTATCTGGGATTTTTCTTTATGGAACTCCTGGATATTGTGAGTTGCCTTTGGGTAGGTAGGAATGTTTCCTAACACTCTTGTAACCTTGGGTTCTGAAATAACAAAACAGAGGGAGAAATAAGTCAAACAAAACTAGATTCAGAGGACACTGTAAGTAGAAATATAAAACATCCTACTCTCCTACTTTCTAAATTAAAAGACAATATGAAACTCCACTCGATAAATACCCTGAAGTTAACTGCATGGGTTCAAATTCTAGTTCTGCCACTTATTAGCTATGTGATCCTGGGATTAGTAACAATCTCCCTATGCATCAGTTTCTTTATTTGTAAAAGGAGATTAATAAGCACAGTACCTGACAAATGACAGGTGTTGCATAAACATTACCTATATTTATGATTATTCTTACACAGGTATCATATTATGGCCAGTTAATGTCTGACTGATTATGTTAATAACTTAGGTTTATACACCACTGTAGTCTACAGCACGCTTTCAATTATTTTATGACATCTGAACCATACCATAACCCTGTGAAAAACGACAGCTATTATTATGTATAATTCAACTGTTGGAAGAAACTAGGATAGTAAGTAACCACACAGTATCACACAAATGGGAATAGATCAAGAACTCAAACCTGGATTTCACTCTCCACCCCAACTGCCTAATTCTGTGTTTCTACTATATTAGACTGGTTAAAACAGAGAAAAAAAGATTATTTTGGAAGATGGGAAATAGGCTATGTGATGAGCACTTTAGCGCTCTGCTACTCACAGGATTGTCTTCTGACCAGAATAATATGCAGAACTTGGGAGTTTGTTAAAACTGTAGAATCTCGTGCTCCATCAAGGCTTACTAAATCACAATCTGCATTCTGAACAAAATCCTTAGGTGATTCACATACACACTAGTCTGAGCAGCACTGTTTCACTAATTGCTCTCTGACACTCATTCTGGTCACTTAAACAGTATACATTAGCCCATTCATCACAGGCCTATTTCAGTTATTAGATGATACTTTAACAAGAAAGAACTTGCTGCTTTTCTTTTAATGTATATTTTAAAAACAAGCTTATATTTCTATTTAATTCTTTTAAATATCCACTTCGTTAAGTTAGAAAGGAATGTTAGAAAACTTTAAACAAGTCAGCACTTACCTTTACCCCATTTATTCATCTATTTATTGCCGTTCTTTATTCCTGAATGTCGTACTACCCTCTGCCTGAAGGATACACTAGAGAGCAAAACCACCATCTCCGTATCTTACACCGGGAAGATTAAAACAGGCCAATTCTATCTTTCTATTTCTGCCCCCCCTTATTTCAGTTGAGACCCCAAACTCTGATCTCTTAAATTTTGCCAATTTTGTGGATCCAGAAAATGAAACAGAGCAAAAAGAAGAAAAATATATTTAGTCTATTCCCGTACCTCAATCTTGGCGGACCGTGAGAGGCAAATAAATACCCCGCCCCTATCTCCCCGTCCTTTATGTTAATTCATAGTTGCATTTGATTTCCAGCCTGCTGTAATTCTGGGAAGGGCTACATGGGCCCACTCCTTTCAGTACTGACCTTCTAGGTCAGAAACGCGCTACATTTTGGCACGTGAGAGCGCTGATCAGCGGTCCACCAGGTTCTACTTAAAATGACTGTTACCATTTCGAAAGGTGCCTCCTCCTACTGGTTAACCAGCCCACACGGGCAAGCGAGTAAATACCGCTCACCTGCTTCACCGAAAACTTCAAAAGCCCGGATCAAGCAGGACTAAAGGTATCTAGTAATTAGACCGTGGCACCTCCCACCGCACATTCCTGATTGGGCGCGTGAAAGACCGATGTGTCGGCGCGCGCTCTAACCAGTCGGGGGAATTCCATTTCCTCTCCCTCCTACCAGCATGACCATTCAGGGGCGGTGCTTCCAGGACACGGCCCGCCCCAACTCGAGCCGGTTCCTACTGCATCTCGCGAGAATTTGTGGGTTTGGGGGCGGACCCCATCCGGAAGAGGGCACAAAACTGCCCTTAAGTCATTGCGGAGTTATAGCTTCTGTTAGCCAGCCACGAGGTTCTCGCGAGATCCGCCGCCTCAATACCAAGTGAGGAAATTGGGGGACTCTGCTGGGAGGGGCGTGGGTCTCGACCGCGCAGCTGCCGCTTCCATTACCTTCCTCCCATGGTCTCCTTCCGGTTCTCGATGCTTCTCTGAGGCTGAGGGTTTCCGCCGCTCGTCCACCCTTCCCCCCCAAGCCCATGACCCGCCTCCGGCCCCCGCCCTCCCAGTCCAATCTCCGATCAGTTTAGTAAGAAGGTGCTGTTCCGAAAAGGAGGAAAAGGGGGTAGCACGGATAACCTCGGCCCTGGACGTAGGAAGTAAACCGTCCCCCTTCACCCTTAGATTCGTCCTGTGCTCGCGACGGCGGCGTTGGCGGACTGATACGCGGCGGTGAAGAGGCAGGAGGAGGGGGGAGGGGCGGAGCGTGGCAGCTGGCAGTAGTTCCGTCAGAGCGGACATCTTGTGGCTGTGTCGTGCGCGTGAGCCCCGTAGGGCCGGGGAGGCACCAGCTGCCGCGCGGGGAGGAGGCCGAGGCCGCAGCTTGAGGGAGGCCCCGGCCCCTCTGTACGCGTGGGTGTGGACGGCTAGGGGAAGGGAAGGGGGCCGGCCCACTGGCCGGCCGGGTAAGAGGGGAAATACAGGCCTGGGGTGGCTTGAGTGACCAGCCTGTTGGGTGGGGTGGGGTGGGAAGGCTGGGGAAGCCAGGGCCTCTCCTGTTTGAGGGGGTGGGGGAATGGGCGCGTCCTCGCGCCTAAGCCGGAGCCTCAGGGGCAGCACGGGCGCGTGGTGGCGGTGGCTGGGAGGGCGCGTGCGGGAGCGCGCTGGAAGGCGGAGTGTACGGTGGCGTCAGGGACCGACACAGAATAGCTCTAGTTGCGGGGACAGCAACATACATCAAGTCTCTTCTCTATTATTTCCTTCCCCTTACTGGCCGCACCTTTGAGCAGAAACCGAAAGAAGCCCGGCGTTAGTCCGGAGTCTCCTGTTTCCCCCTCCCCCCCCCAGCCTTTCTTTGCCCTAGTGACGCCGGCATAGCGCCGACTAGGCCCCGGCTCCTCCTCTGCTGGGCTCCGGACCCTGCCCCGCACCCACCCCTTTCTCCTACGCCTCTTCCTCTCCCACCCGGGTCTCTTCCTTTCGAGAGGCCGGGAAGTCAAACTTGTAGCCGCCCCTCCGCTCTTCCCGTCACCCTCGCCTCCTCTTCGGGCCGAAGCACGGCATAGAGGCTGTTGGTGGCTTTGCCACGCCACCCTACCCACCCCGGATCGCGACCGTTTTAAGGGACCTGGATTCATCAGGGTCTCTCCGGGGCCCGTGCGAGTGCTGATCTGCTCCGTTTTTGCAAAAGGCGCCTGTGTCTGGCAGAGCCGGTGTGAGACGAAGAGACAATCCTTCCCTGCCGTCCGGATAATCAAGAGTTTTGGCCGGACCTTTGAGCACACACCGAGAGAGTGAGGAGCCAGACGAAAAGCACAGACTATGGCGCTGAAACGGATTAATAAGGTAACCCGTGGGGCTGAAGGGAATGGGGTCGTGGAAGGAATGCAAGGCTCAGTTTCGGAGGAAAGCGTGGGGGTGGGGAGGAAGTACAATTATGAAAACGTCTCTCCTTGGGTCACTTCTGTTGGGGGATGGGAAACGCAGATGTACTTTAAAGAAATGATGCTTAAAGCTAGCAACAGAACACTTGTGGCAAGTGAGATGCTCTCTTGAGTGTGTTTCACTGGAATCGGTTCAAATTAGGGGTGGGAGAGAGTGATTTCAGGCGGTTTGGTTCTGCTTCTGAAAGAAGATTTAGTCTTGTTTGAGGGTCGAATTTGTTGAGAACGCTCCAGCAAATGTCATGGCGCTCCCTATTCTCGATGCTTAAAAACTTGAGTTGTAAGAGCAAGGCTCTTGAGTTTTCTAGGGGGAAGAACCATGGCAAACTCACAGGGGAGAAGATCATTGAAATTTGTCGGGTCCCGAACTTAATTGGGGGTCGGTGTAGAAGTCTCTTGGCGGCTGAAGAGTAGTCAGTGAGCCTAGTCAAACTTCATCGACTTTGGGCAGGTTACACAAGAAAAAGTGGGGTTGGGAGGAGATGAGCTGACACTATGTTACCACTTCCTGTGTTTTGTAGTTGAGACTTCTCACCCGAACGTATTTATCAGAGGGACACTGGGAACTGATGTAAAAGGCTTCTGGAAGCTCCCTTCTTTTGGGGGGAGGGAGGACTAGGGGTGTGATGGCAGTAAGGGAAGGTTCAGTGTACCTATTTTTGCCTCATTTAATAACACTCTCGGAGAAGATTGTTTCGCTACTTAAAACGTGCTTTGATACTGAACTATCGATAGAAGTTGAAAAAATGGGATTTTTCGAGGCTCGAAGTAGGAGGGGGGTGAGCGGAACCTCCACCTCCGGTGGTTAAGTCTCATTTTCTTGCTCTAACTTCTATCCCGCATTTTAAGATGGCGGCTGCTTTAACTGGTTCAGGCTTTTTCCGGGATCTCCTTTCGTAATAATATGAAATAAAGTTCTTTGTTAAATGTTAACTTTGACATCAGATTGTATACCGCTCTTAAGACGTCATGCTCGAGACTTTATATTCAGACTCTGAGACTGTATTTCCCTTTTTTGTAACTTGTGTATGTGTGGTGTGTTTGGTTCTTGCACAATCGAGGAGGGTGGAGTATTTACAGCTAACTTGAAAAAAATGTCATGGAATAAATTCGGCCTTACTAAAACTAGGAGATAGAGGAGGTTGTGGGTTAGAAACTTCGGCTTGGATGGATTACTTTTTAAAAAGGGGTTCTACGTGGAAGGAATGGCAAAGACTTGGCTTTACTAAGTAGACCTGACGCTGCCTAATTTTATTTAATACCTGTAACTTTGGAGTGTATTTGACCAAACTGGTATTATGAAAGATGATGCTTCAGATCTTCAGGCGATAGGGGGTATAGCTCAGGGGTAGAGCATTTGACTGCAGATCTTCAGGCAATATATTGAGGCTGAAATCTTGAATTTTGATTTAGTTCATCATTGCTTTGTCATTGTGCATTTATGTGAAATATAAAAAATCTTTGTTTTTGAGAGAATGGAAAAGAGGTACAAATTTTTAGGAGTTAAGATTTTAAGTCAAAAGGATTAAACATCTGACCACTTCTGAGGCCAGCAATACAATTGGAGAAGCATAGTTCTATTTTACAGCATAGTTAATATAAGGAATATAACATTTAGTACAGATTAAAATCTTTTATATATGAGAATTAGTTCAGGAAACTAAGATGTGGAGTAATCTCAAATCCATAGCTTTTTATGTGTGTGGAACAGCACACTTCAAAGGAAGGGCTCATTGATTTTTTTTTTTTTTTCTTTTATAGGTGATACCCAGCTGCTGTGACACCACTTAATTTAAAAGCTCTAGAGGGGCAATAAGTAGTTAAGAATGTGAACTTTGGGGTTGAAATGTTCCAGTTAGAGTTCTAGTAGTGGGCAAATTATTTGTATGCTTCTATGAAACACATACTTGTTATGTATGAACAATAGTTGAGTGCCTGGTATGTTCTAGGCACTAGGGATGCAGCAGTGAGCAAAAACGGGTTTAGGTCTCTAGATTTTGTTTACTTCAGGATTAAAGAGGTTAACGTGTGGCTTTGAACAGGCCCCTGGCACATGGCACTCAGATTATTATGACTGCTATTTTATATCACTATTTTTAATCTTCAGAGACTTTAAAGAACTGTCTTGGTTTAGTTGTTTTCATTAGTACCAGATTGACTTCTGTTGGAAATATTTTGAGGGTATGTGTAATACAGAAACTGGACATAATACTTTACAAATTGGAAGAAACAGTGTTTATGTGGGACGGTTCATTCATCCTATACAAAGATTTTGAAAGGCATATGGCTTGATGCTTAGCTGTTAATATCGGAATCACATGATGAAACTTGGTGGGGGGGAGATCCAAGATCCAAACAGAATTTCAGTGAGTAGATAGTTAATGGGAGATGGCTCTTTTAGGGTCCTGTGTTCTAGAAATACAAGGTCAAGTAGGCATTGATTTAGTGTGGTATTTCTTGTGTCGTGTACCTGTTTGGGTTTTTGTTTTTGTTTTTTTGTTTTGTTTTGTTTTTTTTAAGATTTTATTTATTTATTTATTTATTTATTTGACAAAGAGATCACAAGTAGGCAGAGAGGCAGGCAGAGAGAGGGAGGGAAGCAGGCTCCCCGCCGAGCAGACCCTGAGATCATGACTGGAGCCGAAGGCAGAGGCTTAACCCACTGAGCCACCCCGGTGCCCCTACCTGTTTGTTTTGAATTTACTGTCTGAAGCCCCCAAGTTCCAAATATTAAGATATCTGTATTCCTTGTTGATACTTTATTGAAATGGTAGTGTTGAGATATTTTTAGCCATTAGTAGTTTATTTGATCAGCCTTTGAATTTGTTTTTTTCTAAAGCTACATTACAATATTTTGAGTATTTCTTAGACCAGGCAGCCTTATCATACAATCTTAACTTGGTTTTCTTCTGTATTATTTATTTAATAAGCTGTAGTATGGTTTTACAGGGCTATTTATTAAACAACAAGAATCAAAAATGGGAACTCCCAAGTTGATTAGTGGTTGAGGACCACAGACAATTTTACTACTGCTATTAAAGTAACTACAGTGCTTGTGTTTTGGGGACGTTTAGAAAGAACTACATAAAATACGTGAGCCGAGCCTAGAATAATGTTTTGAGTGTTTGCAATGTGTTAGAACTATTTGTGACACCTGCATTAACTCATTTAATATTACAACAACTCCAGGAAGTAGTTACAATTAAATTGTTGTTCCCATTTCGAGATTAGAAACCTGAGGCACTGAAAGGCAGAACTGGGATTAGAACTTAGTATGGCTCCACAATGTGTCTTAACTGTTACATCATCCTTTAGGTTTTTGGTAATCAGAAAGGTTTTCTTGTGCATTATTGTACTGCTAATAGTAGCTAGGACTTAGCATTTACTATATACCCAGCACTGTTCATAAACCTTTATAAGAATCACTTCATTTAATCCTCACAATTCTCTTGAGATAGAGGCACTTTATCCCTCAGTGATACGTAAAGAAAAGGCATAGAGAGGTTAAGTTCCTTTTCCAGTCGCACAGTTAGTAAGAGACTGAGATTCAGATCAGATAGTCAGCCCCGGGAGCTTAAGCTCTTAAACTTCATGCTGTTCTGCTATTTCAAACCATTTCAATTTCTGTCTTATCCAGTGAATGTTATTTGGTCTTGCTACCTGGAATAAGCTGTTCTCCTCTCCCAGGCCACATTTAAATAATTGGGATTTGACTTTACTCTTACACCCAGGTAATAGCTAATTTGTGAACTAAGCTGTTCACTAACCTAAGTTTTGAAAGCAGGAGTGAGTTCCTTTTTGATTAGTCTCTTCAAGGACTATGGGAACTACCATGTGCCAGCTAATTGTTAGGGGTATCTTAAAATACACTTGTCCCCAAAGAGACAGATACATGGTTTTGCAGGTGTTTCTTTAAGATCCCCAAGGTGCTTCTGTAGCCAGCTAAATTTGTGGGACGGTTATTGATTCATGGATGCTGATGGTGACCTTGGTGTTTAATTTTATTAAGAGTGACTTACTTTAAAAAAAAAAAAAAAGAGTGACTTACTTTGACATTGCTTTGATCATCCTGCTTATCTGCAGTATTCTAGTTGTCGTTACTCCTACGAATACAAAGTTGAATACTCTTAACTAGCTCTAGAGGAAAACTACTTACAAGGTATGTGTTGTTAGGTTATATGTTATTTAACTCAAGGATTCAGTACCCCTTGTTAGTCTTAAGGTACAGGATTGGGACTATAATGATCCCTTTCTAGTAAAGAAGATACTAGGTTCCTACCACTGATGTGAAAGTTTTCAGGTTGAAATCTCAAGTCTTAGATTGGGTTTTGCCTTCTATAGAATATGTTATGGTTTGTGGGTTTTGACACGAGTTGCATTTATATATCAGGATATTGAGCAGAGATCTTAAAGAATATGGTATATGGGAACTAAGCATATTTATGGAATCATTTTCTCTGGGATCAGGCATAATTTTGAAATTACCCAGATGATTCTGAGGCCTTCCTCTGGTTAAGATCCACAGACTTAGCAATAATCATTTAATCAATACTTACTGAGGTTTTACTGTTTGGCACAGTAGTCTAGTCCCAGGAGATAAAGAAAAATGAGGAAGCCTTGTCATTACCCATGAGAGTCTTTGCTTTGAGTGGAAGAAACAAGCATATAAACACACGAATAGATGTTTGTCACCTTGTGCAACTTACCTTTTAAGAACATAAATCAAGTATGAGAAACACCTGTTGAAAAAGAAAGAAAGGGCTATTCATATATCAGATTTACCCATTATTATTAAACATAGTTTATCTAAATATTTTACTTATACTATGTTTTGTCATCTCAGGCTGGTTTTTCTAACTAGTTAATTCTCAGTATCAAAATTTTGAAATTAGCAAAGTTAAA